GTACTGCGACTGGCTTCGCTTGTAACGGGGCTGTCGGCTTTTTTAGGGGCAAAGTTCCTTGTGGCTTGACTTGTGCGCCCCCCGTTGTCGTTGTGCGTAGCTGCCGGTGGCACATACCCGAGAGAGTGGGTACGTGCCACAGGATTTAGACGGGTACGTGCCACAGAAGGAGAGAGACTATCTCGCGACGTCGATGTGGTGAAAAGATGCGACATGGTGGTACTTGAAGTGTTCACTATATGAACGGGCGGATAGACGCACGGATGGACAGACAGAGTCTGACAGACAGCGAACGGACGGATAGACGGACGCGCGGATGAATGGACGGACGCATAGCCAGACGGAGGGATGGATGACCGGACGCACGGACGGATGGATGCATGAACAGACGGACGGACGCACAGACGGATGGAATAAAAAATGAATAGACGGACGGAAGCATGGACGAACTGACGGATGCTTCGCCCCCTCATCATCATTCACTTCGTAGATATGCTGTGATTTTTTTTTTTTGCTCACGACAGCTGCAACGCACATAATTCTGGCCGTTTGCAGGTTGTGTTGCAATGTGTAAGGTATGCTACGTTCCTACAACTGCGTGTACTTAAGGCTTCAAACTCAGTGCTGTGTGTGGTGTGCGTTTCTTGAGTAGAAGCGTGTGTGAATATGTTAGGGTTTCCTGGCATTTACAAGGTACTTACAATAGAACGCTGCCCCAACACAATGCGGCGCTGAGAGTTCCCATTATAGGTTGTACCGTAATCTTCAGTGATTTTTTTAGCAGAGCTTCATGAAATCATAGATTGGACGAAGTTTGAATAACACTTTTGTCGAAGACGAGGCATAACTGAAGGACCCTGCAGGTTGCTGGTTCCAATAAAAGTTTCTGAAAAAAAGTAAGCATTCGTTGCGTGACGAAAAATAATTTATGGATGCGTGCGCCACGAACTCTTGTTTTGGCGCAGACGTACAGTAAATTGCAAAAGTTTACGGACCACGCTAGGGCATGGCCAGAAAACTTTTCGCGACATTTCCGCTACGTGAGCGGCCATCAATAGGAGCGCAACACTCGAGAAGCATCCATCTCCTAATAGATGGCCACTCTGTTTCCTTACAGGGCGCAAAAGTATTTTTCACCTTTCACGTGTTAACGCGACGCACTCTTTGACAGCCGCGGCTACTGGATTCTGCCTCGGGAGTAGTCATTCAGCATAACCGTCATCAGTCACTATCTTCCTTGCAAAGTGATACCTACCTCTCACCAACGGCCCACCATTCGAGCACGCCGTGATATCTTTTATCTTGCTATTGATGCAGAACTGTGGTTAAATAGATATATGTAAATAAATGCTTTGAATGAGAACTGTAATTGATTGATATGTAGGGTTTCACGTCCGAAAACAACCATATGATTATGAGATGAAATCTGTGCACCAACAATGTGCTGCTCGGCAGCAGAAAGCTGAAAGGCCAGTGAATTACCAGACCCATTTCTGGCCCAGCGCTGCAGTCGACGGAAGATGGCGTGTACCACTAGGCGGCGCCGGAAAGCAGTTTGGCACGCGCTCGCATGGTTCGTAAACTTTTGTGGTTGGCTGTACCTTACATAGAGTATACGGTAAAATGAAATACTCGCACCTTGGTTTAGCGACGTTCCACCCCAGCAACTATTGTTATTACACGAAAAGGAGATTGCCGTGTCAAAACTGTCAATCCGGCACCATCGCTTTTACTGGCTGAGTGTGCGTCACTTGAAGCTGCGTCTAGTATGTTGAACCATCAACAACGTGAAGATGCACAAGATGCACTTCAATAATACCTCATGAACACCTATTAATATTCTAGTCGATCAAGCCAGAATGTTTTGTGCTTCTTGACGTGGGAAATGTCTGTTTTATATGAAGCTTAATCATGGTGTCTAGAGCAATTTTCGAATGAAGTACAAAAAAGTATCTTTTGTGGGGTGCTGGAGAGTACTGATGAAGTGTTCACCTTAAATTATGATTACCCTTTGCATATTAACCGCGTTTATTTGCACAGTAACAAAGTGACTGAAAAATAAACGAAATAATTCTCTAGCGCCCGGACTACAAAAAAGTTGTGCAAGTATTATGAAAATAAACCTACAGAAGCTGACTTCAATGAAGATCGAGAATTTCGAAAGATAATTTGTTTCTGTGCGACGAAACGTTAGCGCAAACCAACAGATTGTAACGGCTAAAGAAGTTATTGGGTTTGTTAATCGTACCGTTACATGTGGTGTAGTAACTGTGACGTATATGTGATATCTAACTAAAGAAAAAAAAAACGCCTCAGCACAACATAGATACCTTGCATCATTTCAAACTACGTTTTCGTCATGGTTCTAGAGAAGACAAGTCATTGCATTGTTTATCTCTGTCTCTCTCTCTTTACATAATTTCGAACTCCCATAGTAGAGTACCAGGTACTCTAAATCGTTAGCAACTTTTTCCAAACAGAACTAGCGGAACTCTTAGGGCAACGTAATTCTGAGTACACTGTATCGTACAGCGTACCGTAAAAATTAAGCTCTTAAACGGCAACTAAAGGCTATAGTGAGGGAAAGGGGGCGGACTGTTAAAGTGAATACATAACAAAATATTTACATTAATATAACAAGTCTACGTAGTCAGTCAGTAGTAAATCCATATGAACACAGCAAGATCGTGTGAGACTTCAGACTAAGTATACAGCGACACGAGAGAAAGCAGTCAATGATCGCGCTTTTCGTCATGAACTCTTTTAAAACCGGCAAATGTACTTTTTTTTAAAAGCGTGGATGAAACATAAACTTCAGAGATCACTGCGAAAGAAGAACAAGAACATCCAGGATGACAATAAAGACATCAACTGAAGACGTACTGTTTTTTTCGAGCTTCCACACAAGCGTTCAAAATCCCGAGTACCACACAGAAGAAAGTCATTTGGATCTCAGTGTTCGCGTTTCTTTTTTCTCTACCAATATAAAGCATTCAAAACTCATGCGTTCTCTTTTTTTTTTTTTTTGCAAAAGAGGCATTCAATTCCTAAGGCGCCAATATAAAAGCAGAAGAACCCTTTGAGATCACCACTTGTTTTACGATATACAAAGGTTTGTTGTCATTCTGAAGTAGATTGTAAGAAAAGAAATAAAAGCGCTACAACCCAAGACAATCCGTTCGATAAGCTCAAGAAGGCATAATACAGGCAACCTGTAGGAGTAGCAAGAGCTTAAAGAAATACGCGCCAAGAAGGGCAGACAAACATCGCTGAATGCATGGGAAACGAGAAACCAATCTCGAACGGCTTTCAGCGATGCGACAGGAAACAAGAACGAGAGACAAAAACGAGAAGTTTTAATGAAATCGTTCGTGGAGGTTTTTTGAAGGCGACGGAGAAAGCATCGCGCAAGCGAGTTTCGAAGGGAGGTTACTACGCTTTACGGGAGTAAACAAGGATGGAATGACGCGCAGGGAATAGACAGCAGCGAAAACAGACAACATAAGCATAGAGCAGGCGAAGACAATGCAACAGACGATCGAAACGTATTCAGGTTATATATTTGCATTTTCCGTATCCACGTCAGCGAAGATCAGGGAATACAGGCTGCATAAGCTCTTTATTCTTCACGGGAGGTGCAATTGTGTACCCTCGAAAATCATTCTCGAGTAAGTGGCTTTCTTTCGTGAGCGATGTAATTGAGAGTGATAGTAACGCACATTGACACGTGCAAAAAGCTGAAGCGTAGGCTCGAAAAACAAACCTTTCACTAGTTTAAGCGGGAAAAAACACTTTGCGGAGGTAGGAAAAAGAGACCCGTAAAAAGTTCACAGTCCTAAAGTCATGATTTTGCTATTGAACAATATATTTTATGTTCGCATAACAATGAAAGCTTCTTTTAGAGAATAACCTGAAGCTATGTTTTGAATATAGCAAGTCTCTTTTGCGTAAGTTGAGACTAAGAATGAAGTCTACCGAAAAGTTCATATAGGCACACAAAATGCACTGCAACATGAAGGACAGGAGGAAAATTAGATGCTGCGTCTGAATCACGCGAGAAGCATTCAATCTCTATAAAATACGATGATAATCTTCACTGCGAATAGTAACAAATAAGGGGGTTTAATGTGCCTAAACCACGATATGATTATAACAGATGCCATTGTGGAGTGCTCCGGACATTTGCCATGCCTAATTTTGGACACGAGGATCTTTTTTCATGGGTGAGCAGAACTAGCGAATTACGATTGATATTGGAATGGAGTGCACTTACCTGATCGCAGTACTACATATGTTCCAAGTCAGTCAGTTTCTTGTCAACAAAGAATTGAGCCGCTCAGCCAGACACATGCGCAGAGGCAAGAGGGTGACCACACAAGTACCTTCCATGTGTACATGTTTGCATTTGCCTGTGTAGTTTTCCTCATCTCATTTTTTTTCTCTTTTCACGAGGTCATATTACGCTGTTTCATAAACCCTACAGCACTACTTATGATCTTTCCACGCCATATCATCATTGCTCCAACGCTTCCGCAAGGGCGACTGTTCACAAAACTGGAGGTAATAACATCATAAGACCCAGACATGCGTCATATTAGATTTGACCCTTATCTCTATCTATGCTTGCTGTTTCGTGGTCTCTCTTCCTAACTTCTAAGTAAATTGGTCAATTGTCAACGAACATTTGAGTGGCCGGACTAGGCATTAGCGTCGAAACAAGAAGCCCGCAGCGTAAGTACCTTCCATGCGCACTTGTTTGTGTTTATTCACTTAGGTTGCCTTATCAAATCTTTTTTCTCGAAAGTTCAGCTTACGTTATGTCTTTACCGTGGCTGCACTTCTAATGGTTTTTCCGCACTGTGTCATCATTGGCCTTACACTTCCACATTTGATGTAACTGCTCACAAAACTTCTGGGAATAACGTCATAAGAGCTGGGCATGCGTAATCTTACAAGTTTTTTCTTATTTGCTTTCTTCTTCGTGGCCTCTCATCTCACAGATCCCCAAAACACTCGGGCCGTGGTGTTGAACGAGACGAGCGTGCGCATTTGCTGGCAGCGACCTCTGTATGGCAACGTGTCTGGCTACGTGGTCAAGTATAGGACGACGTCAGAGAATATCACTTCGTACGTCAACGTAACGACGGGAGCCGTCGACAAGTGCGTCCCCGTGCTCGGACTGCGGCCCTGGACCGACTATGAGTACCGCGTGTATGCATGGAACGGCCGAGAGGAGGGCATCGGCAGCCCTGTCGACAGATTCGTCACCCGCATCGACTGTAAGTAACACAAACATTCATGACCATTAAATGATGCAAAGATCTTGACACTAAAGTGTGCTAGGTAACGCAATCTAAGGACACTACTTTCATTATTAATCTTTATTGTATATACATCATTAGTTTCTTCAATTCCTTTAAACCTTATGCATACATAGAACACCTAGTGTCTACGGGAGCCAACCAGAAATGTTTTTGGTTGGGAGAGGAAGGGTTTAAGTCATAGTTTATGGATGCTTATGTATAAAACACGTCAGGCTGAAAACACTCAAAACTGCGGAACCTTCACTCCCTCCCCGTTGTTTCCCTGCAGCTACGCCAGAGGTAGTGAGTGGGTGCAGGTTTCTCTAGGAGCTATAAAGGCATCATGTAATGTAAGCCACGAAATTTCTGTGCTCAAAGCCGCAACTATTGACGCCAGCAACCGCCTACGACGGAACAACCTTCTCTTTCTTGGCATAAAAGACAACATAAAGGAAACATGGGAAGAGTCGGAGCAAAAGATATCCACGTTTTGTGCCGACAAGCTTAAACTTACTCTGGAACCGGGTGCGATGGAACGCGCACACCGAATCGGGACCTTTTCAGAAAACAAAACTCGACCCATCATTGTAAAACTAGCCCACTACAAAACGAAGGAGCGCATTCTGAACTGCGGTCGCATGCTTAAAGACACAGACTTCGCCATTAGGGAGGACTTCGCAGCTGCCACCCGCATTGCGCGGTCAAAGCTGTTGCAGCTCATCCGCCCCCAAAAATGCGCATTTAAACTGAGTCTCGACAGACTTCACGTGGACAAAAAGTGCTACATGTATGACCAGACTTCCGACAAAATTGTAGAAATCAGCAAAAAACAGACTGTGCGTGCCATAGCTGGTGAGTCATTAGGTATGAGCAGCAAAGCCACCGAATGACGCCCCTCTGTCTACTGTACCTCTAACCCTCGACCAAGCCTATCATCAACGCTAAATCTAAATGTTGCCTTCACTAATATACGAAGCATACTGCCTAAACTAGACAGACTACACAGTTTTATCCAAGATGTAGAAGCCGACATTGTCGTGCTAGCAGAAACATGGTTACACGAAGGCGTACTCGACAACGAAATCTTCCCGTCTAACATGGACTACACTTTATATCGCCATGATCGCACTAATCGCCGGGGTGGAGGCGTGCTCATAGCTATTAAAAACAATCTAACATCTTCTCTTATCACTCATGACGACACATTAGAACTAACCTGGGTGCGAGTGTCAAACGTTGCCCAAAAGGCGATTTTTGGCATCTGTTACCGGCCGCCTGATTCTGAACCTGGCTTTTCCATCCTCCTTTCAAACTCACTCACCCGGATTAAAGACAAGTTCTCGGACGCCCCTATTTTTCTTTTCGGTGATTTTAATTCCCCTCAAATAAACTGGCCTTTACTCTCAGCCCCTAGTGCATCCCCGTCCAACGAATCAAAGCAATTCCTTGATCTGACGCTAGATTTTAACCTACACCAAGCTATAACATGCCCCACAAGAGGTGATAATACTTTAGATCTTCTTCTAACATCAAGCCCGGATGACATAAAGCGCAAAATAGTACTCCCCGGGTTTAGCGACCATAACCTTATCCACAACTGCATATCTCTACCTCTGATCAGAAGGTCGCCGATTGAAAAATTCTTAACTGATTACAAACGAGGAAATTATGACGCTATCAACGACAAACTTGGTTCTTTTCTTGACAGTTTTCGCGGATCATATCAAACCCGCTCAGTAAACGCCAACTGGCAGATATTCAAAAAACACGATACTTAACTTAGAAAAACAGTATATTCCAACCATTCGCGTAAAATCAGATTCCACAAATCATTGGTTCAACAAACAACTGAAAAGTCTTTCAAATAAAAAGAAACATCTTTATAGGACCGCCAGTCAATGCGATAACCCTTTAACATGGAAAAAATATCACCTGTGCGCCAAAAAGTATCTTACGGAACTACAAAAAGCCAAAGATAAATATTTTTCATGTGACCTACTATCTATCCTCCGCTCAAATCCCACTAAATTCTGGCGCATGCTCTCTCACAAAAATCAAAGTACCAACATAGATCTTCTAGACCCAGACGGGGAACCAATAGACGCAAAACACGTTGCCTCCACTTTAAATGATTACTTTTCATCAGTATTTTCTACCCCTAACATTACACAGTCAACACGAATACCTACCCGTTCCCCCGGCGCTGTATCCCCCGAAATAGCATTTAACCCCGAAGGAATCGTTAAACTAATCACCGGTCTTAAGATATCTTCAGCGCCAGGTTCTGACCAAATAACCCCCAAACTTTTAGTTAACACCGTCACAGTGGTTAGTCAGATTCTTTGCCTCATCTTCATGCAGTCCCTTGAAACAAGCGAAATTCCAGACGATTGGAAGATAGGCCGAATAGTAGCTGTCTTCAAAACAGGAGAGCGAACGAATCCAGCAAACTACCGCCCTATTTCCCTGACAAGCATTCCCTCTAAATTACTAGAACACATTATATCTTCTCACATCGCGACTCACCTTGAATCAATAAATTTCTTCTATAATCACCAGCACGGTTTCCGAAAGCACTTCTCATGCGAGACCCAATTAGCCAAGTTTACCCACGACCTACTAAAATCATGGATGATAACCTGCAGATTGATGCGGTATTCCAAGACTTTTCCAAAGCTTTTGATCGCGTACCACACAACTTATTACTTAGCAAAATTAATTCCCTTGGCATTGCACAGAATATTGTCTCCTGGGTTAAACACTTCCTCTCCAACCGTAAACAATTCACCTCTGCTAATAATCATAACTCCTCTAAAACTCACGTATCATCAGGCGTCCCTCAGGGTGCGGGCTTATCACCTCTTCTATTTTTAATATTCATAAACGACCTGCCAACAAACATTCAAACAAAACTTCGACTATTTGCAGATGACTGTGTCATATACTCCCCCACTCACAACTTTGAAAACAGTACTAAACTACAGCAAGACCTCGACACAGTTGCGCTATGGTGCCAAGACTCATCAATGCTGTTAAATCTAACCAAATGCAAATCGATGTCATTTTCCCGTAAACGCACCACTGTTCATCATACCTACTTTATCAATTCGCTTCCTCTCGATTCGGCTTCGTCATACAAGTATCTCGGAGTGCACATGTACCCATCTCTTTCATTTGCACCGCACGTACAGTCCATCTGCTCAGACGCTCTGCGTACGCTTGGTTTTCTGCGCCGTAACCTCAAATCAGCATCTCCTGACGTTAAAAAACTAGCATACTTAACATACGTACGGCCAAAGCTCGAATACGCATCGTCCATTTGGAATCCATCCCAGGCATACCTCGTTAGCGAACTAGAAGCAGTTCAAAACCGCGCTGCCCGCTTTATAACCTCACAGTACTCCAGAGAAATCAGCGTCACCGCCCTAAAACAATCAATTGAACTGCCATCACTCGCGTCGCGCCGCCTCATCTCGCGCCTATGCCTCCTCCACAGTTTCTTTTTCCGACCCCAATCAAGACACGAACTTTTACAGCCCCCAAACAGAACTTCTTCCCGCATTAACCATTCAAACCCCATTGCACGAATCAACGGCCGTACATCCGCAATGAACGACTCCTTTTTCCCCCAAGCAATAACACTTTGGAATCACCTTCCCGACACCATTGTTGCCACACCTGACCACACATCCTTCCGCGCAAAATTGGAATCCCACTTTGATTACACCCATTAACCCGTGGCTGTAAATATATTCTACCAACGTACTGTATGTATAATTTGCTTGTGCCTAGTTGTTTGTACTCTAATTCCCAGCCAAAGCGTTTCTTTTGTGTGTTATTTGATTCATTTTTGTTGTCATTTTTGACCAAACTACCATATTAGAACTGTACTGTTTATAATAATTTGTTCAACTTGAATTATACACACTCACAGCGTATTTTTTGCCCCCCCCCCCTTATGTAATGCCCTCGGGCCTTTAAGGATGCAATAAATGAATAAATGAAATGAAATAATGTCTATAGAGGTAACTCTAACTATTTATGTGCTCAGTTGCACCGCCATCGGCGGCCAGTTGCGCAACGAAAATGCGAATAAATTATAAGGCATATGCTCCTCGTCATCGATTTTCACAATATATGTGGCACTTACAGATGCAGGACTTCCTTTCGTCGTTGTAGAAAAAAAAAAGACACTATTGAAAATATTCTTCACGTGTTTTTACTTTTGTTTATGCTTGTGTTTATGAATGTTCGTAATCTTTGTACAGTCGCAATCTTTTTGAAGATGAACAGGAGAGCGTGTGGTTTTCTGAATTACCAGAGCCGTCAGGTGGCAGCCGCAATATCTACGCGCCTGCTTGAAAAAGTTTGGCACTTTTCGCGCGCATGACGTCATCACAGCGCGCGTGTGTCGTCTGCTAGCAGTTTTTTTTTTTCTTCTCAATGAAAACCAAATTTTGACAAGATTCCCAATTTTGATGCACTTATTTCAGAGTAATGAGCTTATTGTGCTTAACGCTGTTGGCGTTATTTCAACCTTTCGCTCAGTTTATTATTTCTTCTGCTCTGTTTTTGTCGTATAACGAACAGGCAAAGAAACACAAGCATCCAAATTTTTATTTAGTGCAAGTTCAACAAAACATTCATCCGTTTAGAAGTAGCCTTTGTAGCCAGAATTTATTTCTCTTTCATTATTTTAGAGCTTTATCAGACAACCCTTTGAGGAAATGACTGCTGCCATCATATAGAGGGCAATGACGCGTACAGTGCTGTCACAAAATCATAATGCACTCGAATGTGCTCTCATTCTTGTCGAACGGCTGCCCACAGCTCGTGCCCAGTCGTCGGACGCACAGGTGTTCGCGCCATGGTTGATTTGATCTACCTCCATATGTTTTCGCACATGTTCACGTTAGAGCCTTTGGCCGGCCAGGAAAGCACATCGATTCGGCGATTTTCGACATGTTCCTTGACAACTTTTGCCGTGTGAACTGGTGCCAGGTCATGTTGAAACATGAAGTCACCATCGGGAAAGACGCTGTAGGCGTAGCGCAGAACACATTTTGGAAAACTTCTGTGCAGTATCACTGGAATGTAAGCGCACCTTCTGTGCGATGCAGAGGCCGGAGACCATACGTCGATACCGCGCCTCGCACGTTCACGCACATTGGCTCCCTGCACATAGGCTCACTCGTAACTGCACGAAAATCATATTTTTTGACCATCCTTCACAAAATCTAACGTTAATAAAGAAACGTTTTTTACCATGTGCCTCTCGCTCTCCAAACTCGCACCCCTTGGTGGTGACGAGTTGTAAAAGTCCACTCACCCGAGAAGATCACTCGGCCCCAGTCATCTGCCGTCCATGAGGCGCGTGCTTCGGCAAACTGTAGACGGGCCTTGTTTTTTTGAAGCAGTGACGAGCGACTTTCGTGCAGCTACTGAAGTTTCCCAATTCAGCACTTCAGAGGCGTCGCCAAAGCGTAGGAAGGGAAGCGTCTACATCTAGCTGTTCCCGCACTTGCCTCGCAGTACCGGATAAGTTCTTGACGACAGCAGTCACCGCGTCTTCATCCATCATCGTTGCCCTTCGTGGACGCCTGTGTGGGGCATCACAGAGTCAGCCTTCCTTGCTGAATGTCTGAATAATCCTGCTGACAGTATTTAGCGGCTTGTGCACAAGAGCACAGATGGGGTGATCTGAAAATCCCTTGAGCGAATGTTGTACGATCTTCTACTTCTTTTGCGGGAATGCGGGCCATGCTGAAACTCACTTGCTGCTCTGACAGATGCCGTAATGTGCAACAATGTACGTGTATATACGTTCCTCAAAGACGAAAGCCGCTTTTTAAACACGCCCACAGGTGTCATACGCACGCGGAGCTTGGTTACAGATCAATAATGGTCCTGAGAAAAACGCATTACATATCAGAATCAGCATCAGAAAGTGTTTTTTTATTTTCGAACAAAATTTTCGGGGTTCTGTCAGGCGAAAAGCTGCATCATGCAGGTTGCAACAATGTTACTAACTCTGAACTGTGCGTCTACCACGCCTAACTTTTTGCGGTACGCGCGCAGCGGACAACGCGTGCTTGCTTGCCTGACGCGATGTGCGCGTCGGGAGAGATTGAGCACGCCGGACGCACTGCGCATGAGCAATGCTTCTCGTTGTCGCCGCTAAACCACGCTGTGAGCTCGGAAGGCCTCCCCGTCACGGTGGTCTAGTGGCTAAGGTACTCGGCTGCTGGCCCGCAGGTCGCGAGTTCACATCCCGGCTGCATTTCCGATCGAGGCGGAAATGCTGTAGGCCCGTGTGCTCAGATTTGGGTGCACGTTAAAGAACCCCAGGTGGTCGAAATTTCCGGAGCCCTCCACTATGGCGTCTCTCATAATCATATCGTGGTTTTGGGACGTTAAACCCACATATCAATGAATCAATCAATCAGCTCGGAAAGCCACGCGTTCCTGTGTTTACCCTCAAAAAGACTGCCACTGTAACCTGTCCATTCCTATGAAAGGGAGCATGTGAGCGCATGGCTTGCGCTCTGGCACTGCCAGTTACTGCACCATGAGCCGACAGATAAATAAGGCGCGTCCGCTTTTGGCGCCATCACCTGTTGCTAGATCTGAGTGGGAGCGCAGTGGAGCAGCACTTGTCCAACTGCCATGTTTCACTGTTTTATATGCTGATAGATGACGTAAAAAGCGGACGCGTCGGTTGATGGTGCAGTATAGGCGGCCACGCCAGCGCGTAAGCCGTGCGCTCGTATGTCCTTTTTCATAAAAAAAGTAGTGTGCATGCACACTGTAAACACCATAGCCATCGTGAGAAACGTAGATACGCAAGCCAATATCACGCTATCATTTCCGGGGATGACATTCAGGAAGAAAATGTAAATTCTCCTATGTGCCCTCGGCGTTCCTGTCGCATATAGACAATGCAAGTCACAAGTTTTCGCCATCTTGGGGTGTTCAACGAATGTTTTCTTCTGTTTATACATCGCTTCATGAAATAATAGCGTCGTAAATTGTCGAATGCACCAACTCAACCGTTTCAATGCGTATGCATCTATATACCGTAGTGCTATTTTTTGTTAAGTTGGTGAATATTAAAAATAAATGGCAATGTTTAGAGACTATAACACGGCGGCACCGAAACCTACCCGTAAAAAGCCCATAAAAGGCTACGTAAGATATATAGCGTCTATAACCTAGATATGTTTTTTGTATTTCACTATGTATTGTCGACGACAAAAATTTTGAGCCACGCGAGAACGTGCAACACTGCCTGTTCGCGCCATCTACCGTCGACCACAGTGCTGGGCCGGGAACAGGTCTTGTTATTCACTGGTCGTTCAATATTAAACGCCGCGAAACACTGTTCCCGTTTGTCCCGCGAAGCGCTTATCTGCTGTATCAACGTCAGATTGCAGCTTTCATAGCAGGATCAAAGTTATCACCGCGTGCCTCAGACGACGTTCCTTCGCCTAGGGGTCACTTTGCGATAAAGATTGCGACTGATTACAGTTCTACTCGCAGACAGCTTTTAAGTCAGAAGCACCTAGATGCAGATTCCGAAAAGTGCGTCACTTCAAAAAGTGAAAGACGAAAGTTATTTGTACTGAGTCAGAAGAGAGACGAGCGATAGGTTAAGGGAGGGATACTTTTCGGGCGCTGCAATGCTAGGGAGTTTTAGAATAGCGCACCGCGAGCCCTTGCGGTGCGGTCGCTGCCACTGCGCATGCGTCGTAACGCAAGTCGGCGTTCGCGTTCGCGGACCGCACGCAGAAAATCCGAAATTGCGTGCGGTGATGGCGGCCCGCATGTGGCCCGCAGGCGCTGGTTTCGAGGCTATGGTGTCGCTGCGATCGTTCGTTGCGGTTCGCAGCAGGACCAACGCTATCCTAAAACTCTTATGGCGCCCGCTTCGCCTGCAACGCCCGCAGCGCTTGCAAACGGTATTCTAAATCTCCCTGCTGTCGACCACCGCTGGCGTAGCGGAAGTGTAACGAAGAAGATTTTGACCACGCAGTGCGTAAACTTTTGTGGCTGACTGTATGCATTCACACTGCAGACTGCGTCATGAACGTCTGCAAGCACGGTGCTTGCGAGGCAACAGACGCACTGCCAGGTTACCGTTGCCTGTGCGACCCGGGCTTCTACGGGGATGCCTGCGAGCACTTCGACCCGTGCTCCGAAAACCCGTGCAAGACGTTCGGCACTTGCGTCAACATCAGCCACGGCGAGTACCGTTGCGACTGCTTCACGGGTTTCTCCGGCCGCAACTGCTCCGACTTCAACCCGTGCCTGCTCAAGCCTTCCGCTTGCCTCCACGGCGGTGTGTGCCAGTCGAACGCGTCACACATGTTCACCTGCCACTGCGTGGACGGTTACTACGGCAAGACTTGCCACCAGTACGACCCTTGCTTCTCCTCTCCTTGCTTGCACGGTTCCCGTTGCCTGAACGAGTCGGACGTGAAGTTCAGCTGCCAGTGCATCCCGGGATATGCGGGTGAGTAAGCACTGCTGTTCATGATCTGTTTTTTAAATCAAAACTTTCGAGCGTTTTGCCGACGGCTTAATGGCAGCTATGTTTATCGTTGGGCTACGCTGAACAAGTGTGCTCCCCTAAAATGTACTGCCTAGGATGTGACGTCAGTCTCTGTATTATCGAGCGCACCCCAACATTACAGCGTTTGTTTTTCTCTTGGGAAAATAACTATATTTGGCAGGATTCTGAAGGTTATCTTCCGTATACAAAACTCACGTAGAAGAAATTGTGACACTCTGACCACAGGTTCTCCTCACCACCGACGATGCCTCTTTAACCAGTGTCACGTGAAGTGGACGAAGAGAGCAGAGTGTATGTCCAAGATGAAACTGTTTATTTGGCTCGTTACTGTTCGCCAGATGGTTTTAAGAGTGTCGATGCACCCAGCAGCACGCAAAAACGCCTTTCGAAACTTAGTACCTGTGCCTACGAGGGTTACATAAAACCGAAAGGCTTTCATTGGCAGCTGGCCTCAGTAAAAAAAAAAAAAAACAAATTAAGAGTTAGCGCGGGAAACAATACTATATATTGACAGCAAACCAGCAGTCATGTTTAAATGCGAAAAAAAAAAAACAGTCTATTGTGTTAGAACCATTATTCAGTGTTCTCCAACGGCACATCTTTGTAATTAGAGGTAAAATGAACTGAAAATCGTGTGTTGCTTGTTGGAACTATCATTACCAAAGAGATGTGAAAAACGGCATGAGATACACAGAGAGAGTTTTGATATTCTGCTCTTCTTTTCGCTGAGCATGGGTGAACACCCCTACCTTTTATTGCATTCTTTTTTATTGCATTACGACATACCGGGAACAAGCTTAGGGACACAAAGACGTGAGGTTTCTTGGAAGAGAGTTATGTTGGAGAGAAAGTCGAGAAAAAGCGCAAGCATTAAAACACGTGTATGATCAGTGTAAATTCACATAGTACACATACACACACCATTGACAGCAGTAACAAGGCTCGTGCCCTGCCGCGGCGGTCTAGTGGCTAAGGTACTCGGCTGCTGACCCGCAGGTCGCGGGATCGAACCCCGGCTGCGGCGGCTGCATTTCCGATGGAGGCGGAAATGTTGTAGGCCCGTGTACTCAGATTTAGGTGCACGTTAAAGAACCCCAGGTGGTCGAAATTTCTGGAGCCCTCCACTACGGCGTCTCTCATAATCATATGGTGGTTTTGGGACGTTAAACCCCACATATCAATCAATCAGTAACAAGGCTCATGATGAAACAAGCGCTAAAAATTACACGCTCTTGGAGAGGACCCAGACGAGCGCTTACTAGCAACTGAAAATTTAATATCGAATGGAACACTAATAAATACATAACAAGGCTACAGAGTGAAATTACCGACGAAAACTAACAAATATTCGCGCATTAGCAAAGCGAATATACTTGTCATCGCCATGGAACTTCCAGAAATTGATGCCTCCGTCGGTGTGACAGTTCCTTCGACACCATACAGCAGTAGAGCGACGACTATACCTGCAACTGCAGGGATTTTCATCGGCGAATAAAAAATGCTAAAAAGAGAATGAAACACCGAGGACCACGCCAAACACCGGATGAAAACTAACTATGCATATGCGCGTCAGCTGCTCCGGCTGAACAGCGGCGGAGCAGGTGTCCTGCTTTGTCACCGTCATTGATAGGAAAGTTCAGAGTAGAAGTTAGATGGAAGGTCAATGATGTCGAATGTGTGAACGTATATACCACGACTGCTGAACAAATTTAGTGTTCACAAGTACTACGCACAACCCGGAATTAAAGTGTTACCCTTCATTTGGGTAGAAAAGAGCAGTTTTTTTGTTTGTTTTTTTTTGCGAAAATAGTGGTTCTCTTCGCTTTTAAGTTTTGCGCTTACTACGGTGCCTTTAGCAGATTTTTTTTTTGCGTCCCCGAGGGCAGATTTAAATAGATCCACTGTAGTTTTTCTTTAGCTGCGCTGGGGTAAATTTTTTTCGCCCTCTTTGAGTGATGAGTGGAACTGTTCGAGGCCCAACTGAACGCTGCGACACGCCGTTTTTTTTCTATACATCATGCGTCGAGCTTTTCAGCCTTATTACTTTGTAGTCGCACGGACTCTCGAAAAAGCTTTGGTATTCGCGCCATGTGCGCAATCTTAACAAAATTATCTGCGACAGTACTGAAGCTTTTCGAACACTGCAGGCGTAGTTTGCACTTAGCATTGCTCACAGTCTATGTAGGTGAAAGACCAATATAAAAAAAAAATAAAAAAACACATGTACCACAAGTGTGGCGATCGCAGGCATTAACACTTCCCGACGATCACTGAGCACATTTTTCTCGTGACGTAGCGATGACACTCTTCTCAGCAGTAGCCTTGTGGAATCGAATGCGGTTCGGACTTGTACGGACCAAGGAGTTTTAAAAAGTTAGTACGGAAGCGTTTCGTTCACTCGAATGAAGAACGGTGGTTATTGAAGGAACACCAACGCAAAAATAAGTGCGAAAAGGCGCGATAATGATGTGAAGCCGCTGCTGCAGAGCGCGCACCCACTGTTTTTTTGGCTTCTATCGTCACCGTAGTGGAAAGACAGGCAAGATGGAATGAAAAGTTTGATAAGTTCTGTCCACCTGAAGCTCCATACTGGGGGACAACTTTTGTTGCCATCGTTGGGAAAGCTGTCGGAGCGGAGCTTCTGCCCATGTAGCCCTCCGCGAAGTAGCCCGGTTTGGCGCGCGTTTCGTAACACTTTGGAAAGTGAAGGGGGCAGTTCTAGTATAAAATTAGACAGTTCTAGTATAAAAGACCTACCGGGATAGCGGGCGTACTGTGGTAGCGGGATCGAAGTTCGCATGCGCAGATACGTACCTTAACCGTACCACTTACCGTATGCGCGCATTTTTCAGAAATAACGTTACCGTGTTAGCGCAGGTGTACAAATCATGGCGGCGCTCTCGGACGCCCGCTTCGAAGTGATTTTCGTGTAGTTGTTCAAATATTTACTTGGTTCGCAGAAAACAACTTCATAGTGGCTGCGCTTGTCTTCAGTCAGTTTCGACGACCGAGTATTACGGATAAGTTGGTGTAGTTTTTGAGATGGCTTTCCATTTTGAACGTGTTTAGGCCTAACCACAAGATCAATGTAAACAGATCGGAAACTTTATTGTTCTCGCGTTTGATGCGTGGTTCATTTTATTTACTTTTAACATTACAAAAAGAAACTTGTTACAATGCTTCCCCGGGTGACACAGGCAGACATTCTTGTTTTCTTTACCTTTTCACTGTTCTTACTTCTCAACCTTCTGATAGGTGTCGCCACCATCCCAGCTGTGACACGCGAACCACGTAAACACTATCCCGCAAAAGCATAACACGCTGTCCGCAACGTACGTTTGCTGCACGGTAACTCCATTCCCTTAAGCGCCGCTTTCACGCTAACGGTAAACTATAACTGTCTAAACGCAGACAACGCACACGCCGCTTAGCATGTCAGGTGCACGTAAGAAAGCGGGACATTCTCAGGCGTCCAGAACGCATGGTGAGTATGTGTACAGTTAAATAAGCACACCGGGTTTTCGTTGTTCGTGCCAACTCTCGTCTCGTGTAGCTCCGCGTAGAAAATAAAGGTAGAATAACATAAAGTTTTCTACCGAATCAAGAAGATTCGAGTCCGGTGTCTTTCAGTCGGCATGAATATAAACTACGGATGTGGTTCCGGGACCTTCTTTTGAGGGGGCTATAACTTTTATACTTGACGTCGACAATACGCGCAATTGTGGAACTACATCCACTGGTGGTAGGATGCACGAGATTCGGCTCTGTAGCATACGCTCGATTGCCAAGAAAAGTTGTCCGTGAGCACGTTAGCGCACTATTTGAAATGACCGCATACGTAATCATCTGGTGGAAGGGTGTATAAAGGAGGAGGAGGTTGTAAGGTAGAGAGGCGTCTGTCATCCCTGAACCTTAAGCAGATACTTTCGTAAAGAATTGTGCCGATTTTAAAGCATATCAATCCTCTGCCTATTTTCAGGTGAGCTGTGCGAGGAGAACATTAACGAATGCCTCTCAAGTCCTTGCAAGAATCACGGCGAATGCGAGGATGGAATCAACAGCTTCACCTGCCACTGTCCTTCTGGCTACGGCGGCCCGCTATGCGAGCTGAGGGGTAAGTTATGCCACGACGAGTACCTGCTCTGCTATCACGGTACCAGCGCGAGTTTGTGCTGTGTGTGTTATCATTAACCATTCATTTTATTTTTTCTCCTTCTTTTTGTCGTTTCTCCTTCTACTTAGCTCCCTTTGCCCCCCACCCCACATGTAGGGTAGCCAACCTATACTAGGTAGGTTAACCCCCCCCCCTGCCTTTTTCGTTCACGCCTTTTTCTTCCCCGTTCATTATTATATCTATTTTCTCCACAATATTGTAAAAAATGAGAGGAGAACGCTTACTGCAACACACCGAGTCACACTAAAGCATTTCAAAAGCAGCAGTCTTCCCAAAGGTTCGCATTGTTCGCATTGTTCGCATTGCAGCAGTTGGTGTGCAAGGAATAGAAGTTTTGGAAAAACTTGTGGCTACGAAAAAAAACTGAAAATTGCAGCAAGCAATGCATGCTAAACACTGCTCTAGGATAACAGAGCGTCGACCGTCAATAATCTAATCAGTCACAAAGCAAGTCAATATTTGTATGTGTGCGTCAAATATGTGAGCGTTATATCTGGTGGCCGAGTTTGTTCCAGCACTCAAAGAAAAGACCGAGCAAGAAGGGCGTCTTTTTGCCCCACAACAATGATTGTCATCTATCTCGTGTTCCTTTTCTTGCCCTATCACCACGCACCCGGCACTTTCAGGTCGCAAATGACATGCGCACTATCAGCTTGTTGATATTTTGTCACATACATCATAATTCCTCTTGAGGTAAAACTAAATGTCACGTCTTGCTTTTGAAACGTTATTAAAGCTGTGCTTTTTAAAGTTTGATCAAGTGTAATATCATTTATCTACAATCACAGATCACGGGGCTTCCTACACGCAAGATGATCACACTCATCCGAATAATTTTTTTGTAACTACACCACACGCAACTTTCCTCGGAAAAAGATAGGATAAAGAAAGCTTAGTGATTGTAACAGACTTGAGTGAAAACAAGAATTAAAGCTTTATTGTAAGCTGCTGAAGTGTTTATCTGGCTATTCTTCTTCTTATGCATGTGCAGTGGTAACTTTGTGTGCAGGTGCAGATGACGATGCAGATGGATTCTGCTACACCGATCAAACAAGTGTCTGTCTTTCATCCCTGCTGGAACGTCTATTACGTTGCAATGTTTATTTTCCACTATACATTAGTGCTTTATCACCCTACGTCACGCCGTTTCAAAGACTATAGTCTTACTTGGTATATTTCAACGTAGTACTTTTGGTCTGTTCGTCTGTCTGCCAACTCAAACAATTGGGTCACCCGGCCAAAGTGTAACCACTTCCTCAGCGCCCAGCCTTCTTGTTCTGCTTGCTGCGTTCATACTTGAAAAAATTGTCTCTCTCTCTCACACACACACACGCACACACACACACACACAGCGGGACAACGCCTACTGCAGGACCAAGGCCTCTCCCATGACCTGCCAATCAAACCGGCCTTATGCTTTCTGCTGCCACGTTATACCTACGAACTTCGTAATCTCATCTGCCCACCTAACTTTCTGTATACCCATCGTGCGTTTACCAACCCTGGGAATTCAGTCAATTAACACTGATAACCAGCAATTATCTTGCCTACGTGCCCGGCCCGTGTCCATTTCTTCTTCGTGATTTCAAATATATGATATCCTCAACCCCGGTTTGTTCCCTGACCCACTCTGCTCTCTTATTGTCTCTTATGGTTACACCTATCATTTTCCTTTCCATCACTCGGTGCGTCATCCCCACTTTAAGCAGAATCCACTTTTTAAGCGTTCACGTCCAGGTCTGCTCCGTAGGTATAAGTACCGGCAAAATGCAGCTGTTACACACTTTCCTCTTGAGAATTAGTGGCGAGATTACCATTCATGATTGTAGAATGCTTGCCGAATGAGATCCATTGCATCTTTATTCTTCTAGTTATTTACCTGTCATGGTTCGGCTCTGCGTTTACCACTTTTCTTAAAAAAGCATTATCCTTTACACTTTCCAGCGTGTCTCCACCTATCGCAAAGCGCTGTTTGCTGCCGAGACTGTTTCACGTTACTTGTGTTTTGTGCATACATTGTCAACCAAAAAGCAAATATTACGCATATCTGAGTCACAGTATCAATACGTGACTATTTGGTCGTGTGTCTTTTATACTAAAATGCATACGTAATCATGAAGACCCTAGTGTTTTTTACCTGGCGCTGACAACGCCACCAACGTCTATGCGTTCTACATAAGCTTTCATTTGCAAGAGTATTGTCCGGTGGCGTTCACTCAGCGACGAGATTGGCAGGGAAGCATGTAGACACTCAGCCATTTTTTCTCTTTTTTTTTTTCAGACACGTGCCCCGAGGAGGTGCAGCAAACGGACAAGGGATCCTTTCACTGGCAACCCACACCTCACGGCTCGGTGGCCAAAGTTGAGTGTCCGTACGGAGCCTACAATCCGGCCAGCGAGTACAAGTACGCGAGACGGAAGTGTCGCCTCCTGTCGGACGGGCAGACCAGCTGGATGAAGGTCTCAGCCCAGCACTGCCGATACAAGGCAAGTAAAAGCATCTCTACCGACAGTAATTATTAACGGGACAGCGTTAAAAATCTCGTCAGAAACGCCGGCATCAGTGTCATTGGTTGTGAGCATGTAATCAAAAAAGAGGCAAATAAAATAAATAATAAAAGATCACACCATATCCATGGAGTGAATGGTGATGAGTAAGGCGAAGAATTCGTCTACCCGTGCGTTCCTCCATGCATCCTTCCGTACGTGGATCTGACCGCCCATACATTTGTTCCGTCCGCCTGTCAATTAGTCCGTCCGTCCTCACTTCCGTCCATGCGTCTGTCTGTTCTATTTCACACACTTTTATTGGACCAACGCCACCTAGAAAACGAGACGAGAAACGGCGATGAGACAGCGCCATCTAGTATACTGTTCGGGAGATACTGCCGCTTACGCCTGACGCAAGACAAGGTTATACTAAGAGGAGCTTAAGATCTTAAGAGTGAAAATAGAACTAAGGCCTTCGGCGTGGCAACCATGTGTTCCATCCCAGAGCCGCACTATTGCTTGAAGTTGCTTCGCAAAGCAGACACAGACATGCACACATGGCACATGCGCTCCGCCGCAGTGGTCTAGTGGCTAAGGTACTCGGCTGCTGACCCGCAGGTCGCGGGATCGAATCCCGGCTGCGGCGGCTGCATTTCGATGAAGGCGGGAATGTTGAAGGCCCGTGTGCTCAAATTTGGGTGCACAATAAACAGCCCCAGGTGGTCGAAATTTCCGCAGTCCTCCTTTACGGCGTCTCTCATAATCATAAGGTAGTTTCGGGAGATTAAACCCCACACATCAAGACGCACACATGCGCACACGCGCACAGAAAAACAGACGCACAGTTTGCTCGTGTATTACTAATGGACAGTTTCACAGACCATAAAACACAATCTTTACTGCAGATGACGCTTGGTAAGCGAGAAAACGCGAGAAGATAAAACGTGGGTGGAGACGCCGCTTGAGATTCCTGCACCATACACCATGACGTCATAGATTATGACGGCGTCTACTCGGTCCTCGGTAGTTTATAATCGGTAAAAATTAAATACAATTCCATCTGTGGGTGCCTCTAGACTAGCACATGAAGCTTCAGGTAACATTTTGTGTCTATGTTGGGAAAATTTGATAATTAAATTTCATAATCAATGAGGTCCCGCGCTGTGCTTTCGCTGTGAAATTGAGAAGTGAAACATTGATTTTCTCCAATAATAATCAACTTGTGAGAAACATGTCACACATGAGTTCCCAGAGTACAGTTGATCAATCAAAACTAAGAAATTATTTACCTTTAGTGTCCCTTTAGCCATCTCTCCTGATACTTCGTCTCTGCACTGCGCTTGATCGTGGCATCTGTGGAAATCTGTGGCATTTTCTGAAAAGAGCAGTGAAACTCTGCCGTGGGGAAACGGAGTATTTTAGCTGGAACCGAGAGCCTTCTTTAAAAATACCACGTATGTCGTTTGTTTATTGAACTTCTTTTACTTCAACAAGAATGGTATCCTCATACTTCCTTAGACACCCAGCATTACTTACTTTTCTACTGGGTTTTTATACTAGGCTCACATTCAAAGCAGAGTCCCAATTTCGATTAGATAACATGGCAGCAAGAGTACTTTGACGATACAAAGAACGGTATTCACAATAATAAATATAAGCTACCACCTTCTGTACATTCACTAGTAAGCAGTTTATGTAAAGCCTCCTGAATCATGAATGGATATTACTGAAATTTAAATGTACCCACGTGCTTTATACGTCATAAGCTGAGGGGTAGCGTAGTTGCGGAGGACGTTCGTGAGATTTATTATGACTAGCTGACTCATTTTTTAGTTTTTCAGGAATTCCTACTAAATTAACCAGTGTTTTCGCATTAATGTTGCTTCTCCCATATTCCTTTGGGAATGCAGTCGTGACTTGTGAGACGATAGTTGTGACACATATCCTAAAGACCAAGGCGAGTTTTAAATTTTGTACACGCCGGCAGGACGATCCGGCTAATGGAAATATCCCTTTCCCGAAGCTACACATTGTCCTCTCTATGCCTCTTTATTTGGTGTGTGTGTGTGTGTGTGTGTGTGTGTGTGTGTGTGTGTGTGTGTGTGTGTGTGTGTGTGTGTGTGTGCGTTTGCGCGTGCGTTTGCGCGTGCGTTTGCGTTTGCGTTTGTGCGTGCGTTTGAGTTTGCGTTTGCGTTTGCGAAAGAGAGCAAGAGTGATGACGCGCGCACTATGAATAAAATGAGCCCCTTATTTTTGCAATAAATATTAAATCACCATTGTGTAAGCCAGCAAGATAGACACATGAAAAAACCCTTCACTGGTAAAATCAATGGCTCTTTAACCCCACGATGTTCAGCGTATTCCCATTACCCGGCGGCTTTAGTTTTAACGTAAAACTTTATGATTTATGTATGAAATATTTAACGTCTGAAACAGGATCAACGTCCTAATTTAGGCGTAGGCTTGAAAACATATCTAAATGCAATGTAGCTGTCTTTGTGCTCGGTTACACAGCGAGTTATCATTAGTGAGTAGTTTTATAGGCTTATCACCAACTGAGTAGCCCAGAAACTCGAGAGAAATAGTTGTTTTTTCAATGCATTTTCTGCAAACACTCACCACGGCTATATAAAAGAGCAGATAACCTAAATCAGATTTTGTGTGTACTAAAGGCTGCTCAGGCTTTGTAACAGCTTTTGAAGCTGAAACTTACTTTAGGCTTAAATGTTTAAACTTTCGAAGCTGAAACTCAGTTCCACCTAAGCTTGCACTAAGTTCAAGAAATTTTAGTCCAAGATATAACGCAAAGCTAAGATGCTGCTTAAAAATTGATTTGTATCGTGTAATTTGAATGTATCCGTAATTTACTTTGCTTTAAACTGCAGTGCACCGAAAGATAGAGCTTGGAGAATGTTTTGCCACACAGTTGTTTTTTTTTATTCTCACGGCTTATTTTTCGTTTGTATCATTCGTAGAGCTTCCAGGCGGCTGAGAATATCACCTCTGAGCTTGAATTCCTGACACACGACCCAAGAAGCATCCGACCGGATCAGCTACAAGGCTTCGCTGAAAAGATTGAGCCTGTCGTCGACTACGCTGTCAAAGATATTAAGGTGATGTAGGTTTGATTAAACGCTGACGAACCCATGCTGGGGTGTTTGAAGTTTGTGTGAAGTAGGCCGACTTGTCGAACCTGTGTTCTTTATCCATGCTAACTGACGTTCAATGTCCCTGAGGGATAATTTCAAGAGTTACAGGAAGAAAATAACGATAACTCTGTGCACTCATGCCATGCGTATGTACCATAGTGTTTGAAATGTCTCGTCACAATTGCTTTCAAAAAAGAAATAGAGTGAAAACGTTTTTGAGAAATCAACCTTCTCGAAAAATTGAGATGTAAAATAATGTCAGTGTAAATAATTCTAGCGTATGTCTGCATCTGCTTCACGAAAGCAGATGCAGACATACGCAAGAATTATAGACACTACATTAATTATTTACATTCTCGCAGAGCGGGCTGAGAAAGCGGATGCCGGAAATAAAATTTTGCATGCTGCGACAATAAACTGGCCACTTTCCCAACGCCTTGATTTTTACTTTCAGATTGCCCAAGCTATGATTCATGTGATTAGCAATTTCCTCGCCCTAAACGAAAGCGTCATCAAGGAGGGAGATGCTGATGGGATCGCTGTCAAAAAGTAAGTACACAGTTTGTCACTTAACGCACGTCAAATACAAGCTTTTTGCCGGATGCTGTGGCAGGTGAAAGGTAAAGGAAAGGCAATGCATATAACTGAGAGCATCAAGGATAATAAATGATCAGAAAAATACACGAGCTGATAAACTGCTATACCCCCCTCCCCCACATGATTCGTGAATTGAAAACCGTTTTCCTGCAAGAAGTCAATGCTTTGACAACCTTGTTGAACGGTCGTGCTCCTGTCCTCACTCGCAACGAAACCTTGTCAAGAAGTTGGAAATAGCGACTGCCTGGGTTCGATAAATGCTGTTCCCTTTACTCCTTGCATGCGTCATAATATTCGTGAGTAGTGCGGGCGTGTGCGTGCATGTGTGTGTGCGTTCGTTCGTTCGTTCGTTCGTTCATGCGTACGTCCGCAAATGCAAGGGTGCGCGCGCGTGTGTCGTGGTCAAAACATTAACCAAAGCACCACGCACATCGTGGCGTATGTGAAATTATGGATGCACCTTTTTGTCAGGCTTGTCTCTGTAGTGGAGAGGTTCGCATCCGAGGTGGTACTCGATTCGGGAGCTCTCATCATTGAGAACGAGAACCTCGTGGTCAAGGCGGTCGCCTGGTCGCCCAAGCTGTTGTCTCAGGGCCGGGACTTCCTCACCTTCTCACTGCGTTCCAACGGAGACCACTACCTGCACGAGGACTTCTCTGGGGACGCCGAGGAACAAGAAAGTGGTGACGTGAGTGCTTAGACTTCATAGAACTGATATTTGGACAAGCTGGTTGGGATTCTTCTAGCAATGGCGCTGATGGGTGGCATGAGAAACTCATGAGTATCATTCTCGCAGAGGGGGCTGAATTATCTTCAAGCACTTTTGGGAGATTATGCATTTCTCGAGCACATGTTGTTGACGTCGCTACGGTAGATTCTTGCACACCTTTGGATTTCGCCAATGTCGATGTGCGATAGCATCGGCATAGACGTTACACCTTCAGTAGTACCATTACGTGTTCTTTCTAATCAAGTTTAAAATTCTCAGTCAGTGCCCACTCCGCTGTTCTTTCCTTCAATTTGCTGGGTGGCTTTAAGATGAATACTTCAAGACTTGCAGTTTAGGGGCCTATCGTACATTTGTCGCCCTTTTTTTACACATACACATCATACTCTCATGATCGCTTATCGCAGCACACATCAAAAACAAGGACGACACAAAACATAAGAATAAAAAAACAAGAAAATCACATGATCTTTTCCTACTTTGTGCATTATCTTTAGTTGAAAGCAAAAACCGTGCCCTTCTCTTTTCCATCTTCTTGATTTTATTACTGTCGATTGAGTTATATTGTAATCATCAACCACGAAAATCACACATTTAGTCAGCCACTGTCTTTGCCAGGTTCTTAGGATTGACAGATGGTTTCTGTTTTGTGCTTGAACAAGTACTATTGATAGCATGTTAGCGTTACTTTGTATTCACGTCAAATTTAATCAATCTCAAGACGAAACTAAATGTTGCTTTTTTTATTACGAATGCTTTGTGCAGAACATAGTGATCACTATTCCGTTCGAGGCACTGTCAATGGCTATCAACAGTTCCCGACTCGCCGCCGGGGAACCCTACCGGCCTATTCACGAAGTGGAGAAAGGGCCACGCATATCGTTCGTGTCTTATCGGAACGACAAGTTTTTCCGACCGGCGCAGAAAAATGACAAGTCTCTCGTAAGCGCAGGTATGTCCGTTGGGCGACACGCAGTAATGAGCTCTCTTAAAGTACTGCAACTGTTCGCTTTGTTCAAGTAAACTGTTGTTACCGTTTGCTTCCATATCGCGCGCGTGTCATTATCCCTAGTAATCCTCCCGTAAGTCAATAGTAATGCCTTCTCTAAAGCATGTCTGGGACATCAGCCATAAAGCCGGCTTTACAACTCTCTTGTGTTCCCTCCCCCTCCACTCCACAAAGGGGTGTGTCAGATGTGAACTCTTATTGTGGTCGCCGCGCCACGTCTCTGCCTCCGAGATCAAAACAATGTGTCTTTCAGTTCGGGACGCAACGTCTGTCGTAGACGCTGCGCCAGCGGGGCTGATGGCTCCACTAGGACGCAACTCAAAGTAGGGTAGGCGGTGAGCGCTCTCTGTGGAGAATATACTGAACTACGAGGGACCTTCTATGCCAGTGGGAATGTGAGCAACGTTGCAGAAATTTAGTAAACAAGGCGTTCTAAAAAGTTGTCGGCGTTGCAGCCTCCATTTAGCGTATCATTGGTTTTGTCGGAACACAAAAAAAAAATGGAGGCACCTCTAACCCTTCTTTAAAATTATGATATCGTATTGCTATACCGCAGCTCACTTTGACCATAAACAGAGGCAACAGAAAAACACATGCAACAGGATAAACGTGAAAATTTTGCACTCATTTTGTTGTTTCCCTTCAACATTGTTGCCCTTATTCTTGATATTCAAACTGAACTATTCTCTTTTAACACATGTGCTAGTTTACTATCATGTGCGGGTCTTATAGTGGCAGCCGCACATCAGCGTTCGCGCTTGTTCGCGTTCACTATTTTATTCCTTGATTTGTCCTCCTTGCCGAAGCTCATCATAAAAGTGCACGTAGCTAAAAACGTTTGGTTGAGACGGGCTACGCCAGGTACTGCAACGTTCGCAGAAGCTAACTACAAACAGTTTTGCTCTTTCAATTATTTTATATTCTTTAACTATCCTAACAGTTATTAGACGCTTGCTTTAAGTGAACTTATGCTGCAATACCTTAGGTATTTAATATACCTCTTAACTTAAACCAGAAGTATCGGTTTTTTACTGCTAACTTCCAGGCATCGATGGTATAAACCTTGTGGAGACAAGACTTTCTGTGTTTTAATTTGCATGCTGTGACCAACCATGTTCCCAGCTGTCCATATGTTACTTCGTGCGTTCAGGTCAAGTGGTCCTGTCTGCCAAGATCGGTGAGAGCAAAATCAAAAACCTCACAGACCGCCTGGTATATTCGTATCCCACCTACACTGCAGCAAGCTACAGCTGTGCTTTCTGGGATGGACAGAGTGAGTATATGGCTCGCTTGTAAATAAGATTTCTTTGAACTGGACTTAGTAAGCAAGATGTAGGTTTAGTAGTGTTGTGCATGCTACTTTTTGTCATCTAACTAATAAAGTACTGTTGAATCTCTGGGATACAATCATAGCTCGTGTGAGTTTCGAGGTAATACAAGTGTTGTCTTCAGTCCCGGCCAAGGCCCGTTGGCCTCCCCTGTGATGAAGTACGATTGCTGCGAACTAATATTTCACCCCGTGAAGTTTGATAGGAACGTACGCTCACGCGCATACGATCAGATGTTGCCCCGCGCTGTTCCGGAAGAAGTGACAAGCAGGCGTAGGAACTCAAACGCGGGTATGCGTGGCACGCCACCTGATGGTGAAAATAAACTTTAGTGACGCCTTCTACATTTTGCACGCTAATCTTGGAGACCCTATTGCGCATTCGCGTGCTTTCGGTTTAGATTACACATGACGTTAACAAGGCGCTTTTTCTTTAGCGCGTCGACGCATGGGGCTGTCATTGTATACGGTGTTTGAATGTGCCTGTCGTGTCAATACAAGTCATCCTCACTCATCGAACTTCCTATGACACTTGAGCGAGGACAAACAGAGGAAGTGAAGGGTTTGCTAGGCCTCGACATGTCAACATGCGTGGTTCTTCGAAGCACGCACACCTGCCTACTCTCGCATTACGCGGGAAAGGCCGGGAATCTCCCCAAAAGCATCCCCAACACCACCCACATAAAGAAATGATAACAAGAAAGAACAGTGTCTCCAAAATTTCTAGGCATTCATCTATCGGGTCCAAAGCACTTGTTCAATTAAATTTACCGCAGTGCTGTGGCGTTATGTTGAAAAGCGCCAAAGATTTGTATGAGCCGAATAACTTTCACGGCTCACTCTTGTCAAGTTCAATTATTCAACATGTGTGCACGGGGTATATAAACACGGTTGCTAGCGGGATCGTAGACTTGAAAAAACTTCGCTAGTAATCATTCAGAGTTTTTCCTTGCGTTAATGTCGCCCTGAAAAACAATTAGTGAAAGCATGCGCCAGCTTTCTTGTGTGGCATGCTAATTTGGCATGTTTCCAGGTGATACGAAAATTCTTGGTTGATTCCGCAAGATTTGAATCATCAAGCCATATTTGTACTGCGCAAAAAACAGACGGAAACACGAAATAGAGAAAGAGGAAAGACAAGCGCAGACTATCAACTGAAGGCCTATTGCAGGAAAGAGACAATATATAAAGGAAAGAATAAAAAGCAAGAGAGGGCAAAGGGGGGAGGAGAAAAAGGCACGAGGGGCCAAATCAACAAAACCTTGGCAACATCAGGAAAGTAGGCAAGTAATGCGGAACCTAGATAGATAAACTTCTTATCGTGTATAGTCACAGAGAGAACATTGACGCATGAATCGGACATCTTGCGAATATGCACAGCCTCAACAAGCTCTTGCACTCTCTGGTTTTTGTGCCGAAACAACACAGAAGTGCCATCAATGAGCGGCACGCAGTGGCATTGCCTACAGTAGGCTGCTAAATGAAGGCCGGAGTGGCCTTTCAGAGAATTCAAATGTTCTAGAATTTAGCATTTAGACAGCGACCTGTCTGAGTCACGTATACATGACTGCATGACAAAGGTATGGAGTAGACAATACCGGTGATACATAATACATAATTATAAATACTGCTACCATTTTATGTTTCTTGCTGGAAATATATGTGATTCGCGGAATATATGTGTATCACCTTCAGATGATAGTCTGTGCTTGTCTGTACTTTTTCTCTACTTGTTTCCCTCTGTTTTTGCGCAGTATACTTATGGATCAGTAACAACTTGCCCAACTATTCATTGTTCTGAATCGCCGAGGTTTTGTTGTATAAACTGCGTGAAGCTCCTGAAAATCTTGATAGGCTTCTAACGAAGTAAACGTTTAGCGGAAGATGGATGCTTAAAGTCATGAGAAATCGTTTGTTAGGTGTTGATTCCATGGCCAGCTTTCCACAACGGTGCTTGTCTTCCTAAGAGCAGAAAATGCCAGCAAACGCACCCGAATGCAAGCTACAGTAACCTGCAAAGAAGCAATTCCACCAGCCACGAATAACCTCGAATATTGATGTTGTATGCGTGCGATCGCGTAGGATTGTTTAGTGGAATTACCTGATATTGTTACCGCACAGCTGTGCCTGAAATACGTGTGATTACGGCTTTTCAGCATCCTAATCGTAATTGTAAAGCATGCTCACAATCATCGTCCACGGCCGGGCTTGAGGAGCGGCACGCGCAAATAGAGTGCGCCCGTGCCGCTGCTCTATAGCCCGGCCATGAATCGTCAGTTTGTCGTATTTTTTTTTTCGTTAAAACCCCTCTGTGATCACGCGACGGGTGGAGCGCCTACTGCAACTACTGCTACTGGTACCATTAATGTTGCTTCTACTTTTCTATTTACTATTACTACTACTGCTGTTACTACGGTGACAACAGGAGCAGCAAAATGTGTCCTCAGATGGCTTCGTTGCAAAAGTGCGTGGTACATAGTGGTTGAATACTTGGTGTATTTTTTTCGTAATTTTGGCCCGACGACTAAACAAACTAACAAGTACTACAGATTAGGTGAGTTGGTGCCTTAAAATATTGTGTTGCTAAAGCGCAGCTCATTTGAGCATGAATATAAGATGGCACCAGTAACAAAGGGAAACACAGACAACTGGATGAGCACTCATCGTGTTGTCAGTGCTTCCCTTCTTCACCGTTGAAAATTCTGTCCTTGCTCAAACTTAGCTGCACTATATCAGTACGATATTACACACAGGTTCACTCCTATGCAGGAGCTCATGCTCGACCCTTGTAAAATCTGGTGCTCAACATTTCACTTGCTTGCTTTAATGATAAACTCTCGTTTCAGGAAAGGAGTGGTCCACTGCCGGCATTACGACCAACAGATCGGGAAACGTTACCGTGTGCAGGTCTAGTCACATGACGGCATTCTCGCTCCTACTGGTACGTCCCGCAAGCAAATTGTTGTAGCGGGACCTTATCTTGCCCTGGCTTGGGCTAGCATGCCTTGTCTTGCGGAGACAGCTGCTGAAGCTCGAAATGTGTATGCTGCAGCAGATAGTCTCCCACAAAGCTTATGGAAAATCTGGCAAGGTTGTCTACTCGAGCGGCAAGTGTTAGTATCACACGTGGCACACTCAAGAAATGAATTAAAAAATAATGAATAGTGTCCAAATATTTACACTAACAGAACTCATGTTCATAAAGGCAACTGCCGCGTAGTGTTCTGCCCTGCTTTCACGGAAAACTAGACATTTGTGCCGCCTTATAAGCGTCACTCTTATTCTGGCAGTGACGGCGTCTGTACAAGTATTCTGAGAGTCGTGACTGGTGCACTTTTCGCTGATCGAGTTAGAATTGAGTTCTTGCAAGTGCTATTCCTTAAAATTCACCTGTTTCCGATGGATAATTATGCATATTCTCCAAGACCAGAAACAATAGACCCAGAGAAATCACCGAAGTATACCATCTTTCTTTTTTCTTTCGACTAAGAATACCACCTCCGCATTTCGGATACTTTGTTAATATATGCAAGTAAGAGTAGTGCAATGTAAAAAACGAAACAAATGTTGAAACTATTGACTTTCTGCTCGTCTTAATGAATGGATTTCTAGAGAGAGAGATCCAGAGGAAAGCTGGGAGGTTCACCAGATAGTAAGAAGAATGCGAAAAGTGATGGAGCTCACTCAGAGTGCTTGCTATGCTTTTTGTCGGACCTCGTCGTGCCATTATTATTTTTTTTTCGTATTCGAGCTGTCAGCGTTGAGTACTACTTTTTTGCAAGAGTGATGGTATGTGTAAGACCCCAAGGATCCCAGGGGTTGGCTGAGGGTATCCGCCGCTCAGAGATAGAGTATTAAGTTAAGCACTCGCCATCTCTTCGTCTTCACACTCTAGATAGACAGCTGAGGCTGAACCCTAGCAATCTCGTTAACGAAATAAAACACCGTAAGGACTCAGCAGTCAACGGCTGACTTCTACTAAGCGATAATTGCGGAAGAGAGTGACGTGTCCTTTTATCTTCAGTTATCGTGAGTCCCGCGTGATAAGCGAGACTTCCTGGGCGGCTCGAGACGCTGCATTTGTTAGCTTCTGGAAATAAAAAAAGGACCAAAAAGAAAGCGCGCCGGCGTATCATTGTCAGATGCTGTTTTTAGCCGACACCAATGGGCGCAGATGTAAATAGATGTAAAATAGATGTAAACAGATGTAAATAGGTGTAAAACTCTCGTGACTGCGTTATACGACCGACGCCGCGTTTTCTCCAGCTCGTCTTAAGGGAAGCACGTGGTGTTGACGTTATGCGCTACATTTCGTGCCTGATCTGGCCAGGCCAAGCTCAACTTAGACACTAGCACGCGCGCGCACACACTTGTTTGCTCACACCCACTCTACCTGTCTTTGTCTGGCGCAAGGGCTTTGCCCAGTTTTATCATGTAGGAACCGAGGAGCTGTGCGTTTTAGCCCGCTCTTCTCAGTTGGCATCTCGCGCTGGCAACCGTCAATCTAACTGTCTAATGGCTTCGTTGCAAAAGTGCGTGGTACATAGTGGTTGAATACTTGGTGTATTTTTTTTCGTAATTTTGGCCCGACGACTAAACAAACTAACAAGTACTGCAGATTAGGTGAGTTGGTGCCTTAAATTATTGTATTGCTAAAGCGCAGCTTATTTGAGCATGAATAAAAGATGGCACCAGTAACGAAGGGAAACACAGACAACTGGATGAGCACTCATCTTGTTGTCAGTGTTTCCCTTCTTCACTGTTGAAAATTTTGTCCTTGCTCAAACTTAGCTGCGCTATAACAATACGATATTACACAAATGATTTCGCTTTGCTCACTCCTGTGCTCGAGCTCATGCTCGACCCTTGTACAATCTGGTGCTCAACATTTCACTTGCTTGCTTCTATGATCAACTCTCGTTTCAGGAAAGGAGTGGTCCACTGCTGGCATTACGACCAACAGATCTGGCAACGTCACAGAGTGCAAGTCTAGTCACATGACGGCATTCTCCCTCCTACTGGTATGTCCAGCAAGCCAATTGCTGTTGCGCGACCTTATCTTGCCTTGGCTTGGGTTAGCACCCTTGTCTTGCGGAGACAGCCGCTGAATCTCGGAATGCATCTGCTGTGCAGATAGTCTCTCTAAAAACTTAGGGAAAATCTGGCAAGGTTGTCTAATGGAGCGGCCGGTGTCAGTATTACGTGTGGTGCAATAAAAAAAAATAAATGAAAAAATAATGAATAGTCTCCAACTAATTACAGTAACATGATTCATGTTCCTAAAAGCAACTGCCGCTAAGTGTTCTGCCCTGCTATCACAAAGTTGGAGACATTTCTGCCGCCTTGTGAGCGTCACCCTTATTCTGACAGTGACGGCGTCTATACAAGTAATCTGAGAGTCATGCTTGGTGCACTTTTCGCTGATTGAGTGAGAGTTGAGTTCTTGCAAGTGCTATTCCCTAAAATTTACCTGTTTCCGATGGATAATTATGCATCTCCTCCAAGACCAGAAACATTAGACCCAGAGAAATCATCGAAGTATACTATCTTTCTTTTTTCTTTCGACTAAGAATACCACCTCTGCCCTTCAGAGACTTTGTTAATATATGCAAGTAAGAGTGGTGCAATGTAAAAAACGAAACAAGCGTTCAACCTATTGACTTTCTGCTCGTCCTAATGAATGGATTTCTAGAGAGAGAGAGATACAGAGGAAGGCTGGGAGGTTCACCAGATAATAGAAAGAATGCGAAAAGTGATGGAGCTCACACAGAGTGCTTGCTATCACTTTTGTCCGACCTGGTCGTGTCATTAACTTTATTCTTTTTCGTATTGGAGCGGTCATCATTGAGTACTACTTTTTCGCAAGAGCGATGGTATGTGTAAGACCCCAGGGATACCAGAGGTTCACTGAGGGGATCCGCCACTCAGAGGTAGAGTATTAAGTTAAGCACTTGCCATCTCTTCGTCTTCACACTCTAGACAGCTGAGGCTAAACCCTAGCAATCTCGTTAAAGAGATAAAACACCGTGAGGACTCGGCAGTCAACGGCTGACTTCTACTAAGCGATAATTGCGGAAGAGAGTGACGTGTCCTTTTATCTTCAGTTATCGTGAGTCCCACGTGATAAGCGAGTCTTTCTGGGCGGCTCGACACGTTGCATTCGTTAGCTTCTTGAAATAAAAAAGGACCAAAAAGGCGCGCCCGCGTATCATTGTCAGATGCTGTTTTTAGCCGACACCAATGGGCGCAGATGTAAATAGAGGGTAAAATAGACTGTACACTAGATGTACATAGGTGTAACTCTCGTGACTGCGTTATACGACCAACGCCGCCTTTTCTTCAGCTCGTCTTAAGGGAAGCACGTGGTGTTGACGTTATGCGCTACATTTCGTGCCTGATCTGGTCAGGCCAAGCTCAACTTATAGACACTCGCACGCGCGCGCACACACCTGTCTTTGTCTGACGCAAGGGCTTTGCCCTGTTTTATCAGTAGGAAGCGAGGAACTCTGCATTTTAGCTCGCTCTTCTCATTTGGCATCTCGCGCTGGCATCTGTCAATCTAACTGTCTAATGTAGCGTGCAGTGTCGCGACTTCATTTACCAGTTGTTGCGGATGGCAAGCTCTCTTCGTATCTTAGCCCGGCTTGGTGGTGTACTAGTGACGGTCCTCAATTGCTGACTCTCGTAGTTCGCGGGTTCCGTCCCGGCCGTGGTGGTCGCTTTTTTGTGGAGGCTAAACAGCAGGTGCCCACGTCCTGTGCAATGTTCAGTGCACTTGAAAACACCTAACGGCCGAAATTTTCGGAGCCCTCGCTATACGACGCCCTCACGTTTCATCATGGTTTTTGGGCGTTGAACACCACGCATAATAATAATAATAATAATAATAATAATATAATAATAATAATAATAATAATAATAATAATAATAATAATATAATAATAATAATTAATAATATAATAATAATAATAATAATATAATAATAATAATAATAATAATATAATAATAATAATAATAATATAATAATAATCATAATCATAGTAATAATAATAATAATAATAAAATATAATAATAATGCTATTATAACATTATTATTATTATTATTATTATTATTATTATTATTATTATTATTATTATTTATTATTATTATTATTATATTATTATTATTATTATTAATCCTATCTTCATTTCTGTGAACCTAAAAGGCAGTGCGACTTTGACGAAGCTTTAAAACGACAGCGTACCGAAAAGAAAGGCCATGGGAAAATGAAGTTTTCAGTTTTTACGGCTGTCACAAGTTCTAAAATGGCGTCAAGGCTCATTGAGTACGGCAAGATCATTGTAACGCAACGTGCGATAGTGTATTTGGAGGTGGATTATTCGCGTTTAAGACCACTTCGAAGTTTCGCTTTTGGTAGTGTAGGGTAGCGAAATCAGTTTCAGTTCCCTCATAAGCTACGTAATTCACATTGCCCTCTATACGTGTTATATACGAGTGTATGCATATAAACATCGATCAAAAGAGGATTATGTACAAATATTTATAAGGATGTACTTCCTTTTCTCATAATGAATTCCTGCTAACGCAGCTATTGTTATACCAACGTCTTCGTATGGCATGCACCCGTCCCCTTAGCGGTGTCAAAAGGTTCAGGAGGATGCAGTTATAAGAAGCCTAATTTTGATTGTTACGCATGACGCTGGTACCGGGGTATTTGTTTACTTCACGCGTCGACATAAGCTGTTCTGTCTGCAGGATCCCTTGCCAGGGATGGACCATGGCACCACACCACTACCGCGTTCTCTCTCTCATATCCTACGTCGGTTGCATAATGTCCGTGGTGGGCCTCTTCTTCACCATACTGACGTACGCCCTTTTCAGGTAAGCTACTTGCACGACATGCTTCAATGGCTGCTTTATTACCCTTTCTTTGAAGTTAAAGACGCGCGTTCTCTCATTTTTTTTTCACGCATAGCTGCGTAACCCATCACATACGTACCTTCGGCTGCAGCGTTGAAGAAGTCCCACAGTTATGGTTTAGCTTCGTGTGTGTGTTTTTTGCAATTGTTGCTTCAGAAACAAACCGCGTTCTGCATGTCTTGCTCAACCCAACCGCGTTTTACCTTAATTCACTGTTTATTGCGTGGAATACAGAGTGTTCAGTAAGGTTAGAGAAAGCGTTTTTTCACCAGACCAGGGGTCTTCAAGTCCCTTCGGCCAGAGGTCCGCAATGAAAAATTTACTCCAACAGGGCCAGGCACCCTGAAGATTGTTGAATGACGAGACGGAAACGGGGAGAGAGAGCTTCAACAATAAGGTTACTTAATGTTTGCATTTGAATGAGTGCGTTTCCCATATCTGAACGCGTTTCCCAAAAATGTATCATATTGGTCTCCTCAATGAGCTTAAGTGGGCGCCAATTCTCATTTATATAGTTTTTGATTAATGATGAGAGTTAAACTCGTATAAACCGCACGGGGTGTTTCAAAACAAAAGTGCTTCAAAGCAGGCTTGTTTCTGTAGCTTACTAAAAAAACTGCTATAAATCGCCATAGGCAAGAGATAAATGAAAGTACTAATTAGCCACTAGTCACGAAGCTTTATTCATTGTAAGATCACTGGCCACTACCAAAATTCTGCTGTCCACGTGTTTCATACATCTCCTCTTTGCTCTTGAGTGGGAATGTGGACATGTACTGAACCTTTTCTAATGCATTCTTTAGGGGTGCACTCCTACATGCTATATTCCGCATTGCAGTATGGTGTGACAGATGGAGCTCTCCCTGGAATGGTCTGCTATAGTCACTGTTTTTCTTGGCTAACCCTGTGATATATCACTCTTCCTAACGAAAATACAGCCCTTCATAAACCACTAAATTGATGTTTTACGCATTTATTTAGTGATGTCCATGGAGGCAATTCTTACGCTTGCCTGAACACGGACAATATTGTTTTTGGTGTCTCATGGCTCACCTAGTCATTAAAAAATGCACCTTCCCCCTCCAAAAAAGTTTACAGCATATCCGCGGAGTCAATGATTATGAGTGGGGTGAAGTGCCCATCAGCCCGTCCGTGCTTCCGTCCGTCCGTGCGACCATTCGTCCGTTAATCCATGCGTGTATGCGTCCATTTGTGCGTCCATCTAGTGAACACTCCAAATACCACCATCTCGCATCCCCTGTGGCACATACCCGCTCTAGAGCGAGTATGGGCCACTGGTAGCTACCTACTTCTACAACATACATCGGAGGATGTACAGACCCACACCTTAAGGAGCTTAGTCCCTAAAATTAACGTTTGTGAATTTTGCTTCTCGCAGGTGCCTGAACAAGGATCGCTCGGGCAAGATCCTTCTGAACTTGTGCTCAGCAATGCTGCTGCTAAACCTGGCCTTCCTTGTTGGATCGCTACACGAGCGCTTCCCAAGCCTCGAACTGTGCATGGGCACCGCCGTAGCCACACACTATTTCCTGCTCGCCTGCCTAGCCTGGATGGGCATCGAGGCTGCCCACATGTACCAGATGCTGGTGCATGTCTTCGCCACGTCAGAGACGTGTTTCATGCTCAAGCGTGTCCTGATAGCATGGGGTAAGCGGGGCTTCTGTATTATGCCTTTATTATGTATTGGCCACGAGGGTTTCCACTGGAAAGGCCAGCGCTGCGATAGTTTTGACGTCACAGATGGTATGTGTTGTATATTACGGGAGCTTTGTCTTCACGCCACCACTTGCATCGTCCCCCATGGCTGCACTAGATTTTAGTCGCAATTTTACGATGCAAATCAGACACAAGAGTGCCACCGGGGGCATCGCTTCGTAGTTTGCTTGCCCGTATTATCAGGTCTTACTGCTTCTTTCATCACTGAGCTTCAAAACAAAGAGAAGAATGGGTGTTGTCCCCAGAAAAAGCGGAATAAATGTGGAGTTTCTAGCAAACAACGCAACCCGTTATCCTATGAGTGACGTCATCAGGTAGGTGGCGCCACGGTATGTCCTCGAGGCCAGTACAGTATACATAGGACCAAGTAGTCTACTCTGGCGAAGATCGCGAAATGTATGAAAACTTCGTGCTACAAATAAAACCATCTTGATGCACTAGACAAATATGCTGTTATTACAAAAACTAGTCTATAGTAAAGACTTGATCGCAAGGAATCATTTTGACTCGTTCCCATTTTCGCTTTAGGCATTCCAGCTGCAATTGTGGGAACGTGCCTTTCCATCGACCTGGAGCCGTATAGGACTGAAGATGACTAGTAAGTTGATTGAATTTGATGTTCCCTTCGACTACAAGCATTTTAAAGCAAATAGTTTGCCACGAATGACAACTATTCACTAGTTTTGTGGAAATCGATTGAGCTCAAGCTTTCATTTCGAGCTAGCACGCTTCAAAAATACATCAACGCTTCTACTAAGACTGTAGTGGCTGTTGTAATATTAAAGTGGGCAGTTTACAATTCATAAAGCTACTGCAGTGACAGGAATGCGATTCCCTAATAATTTATGAAATTGTTCGGAGATGTGAGGTAGTTTACTCGTTTTCTTTACGCCCTATTTGGTCAGCGAAAGGATCGGGGCCATTACTGTGCGATAAGAAAATAATTGGGGGAGCCTTAAACTTCTCTTTTAAGAGTTGAACGCGATAGCGAAATCCCGCTTTTAGTGAATTTTTCAGCCGCAAAGTGCATACTTACTAGTATGTTTTGTTACATACATACGCAAGCACACAAACACCCGCACGGTAGATTGGATCAGCATGCGCTATAATCGCTGAATGGGCTCGTTTTCGTCGTGACACCTGTCGAATAAAATGCGTTAAAGGGGCCCAAAAAATTTTTTTCAAGTAACCATGGAATGAATTCACTAGAAGAGCTTACTGCCTCACGAATTCAACGCCGCAAGAAGTTCAAAAATCCGTCCAACGCGAGTGAGGTAACAAAGGTATGTCGCATGCTGCAATTGCATTATCTCTTCTCTTGTCCCGACGAAAGCGCTGGAAGATAAGTGGAGAGGGGTGGCAGGGCGAAGAAACTACCGCGTCTCGTGACCTTGAGCACTTTTTTTTTCTTCAAATGCGCGGCTTTTTCAGTGTGATCGCGCGCGCCCGCGTGGACAAGTAGTGGCCTCCCACGGCTATTTCGGTAACTTGATTTTTCGGTCATAGACGCACACACCATTTTTTGCTCACAACCAATGGGGCGACGCCGGCAGTGGGTTTCCGGTGACACGAGCTCTTTAACGCTATCGCGTTAATATTGAAGCACACAGTTAAACAGGGAGTAAGAAATACCGATTACAGGTGTCACTATTTTGCTCTACACACGCAGCTAAGACACTGAGCAGGATATCCCCAGCTTTTAACGACATTGTTTAGGCAACAAAGACATAGCCGCCAAATAACTGATCACATTTATCGTGTTCCTGTTTTTTGCAGCTGCGTCTTATCCTCGAAAAACCCTTGGATCTACTATGTAGCATTCCTGGGTATATGCTCTTGCATCCTCTTTATCAACCTCATCGTCTTCATCATGGTGACGAGAGTGCTCTTCAAACCGAGGATGACTGGAGCCGTCACCTCGAAGTCTAATAGCCAAAACTCAACGTCCACTACCGGTTCTGGTTCTGCCGACAACTCTCTACCCATCACCGCGGCCCAAGTCCGCGGTGCCTTCACCGTGATGACCCTGCTCGGAATCACGTGGATCTTCGGCGTGTTCGCCGTAGGCGAAGCCAGGACGGTGTTCCAGTACGTCTTCTGCATCTGCAACTCATTGCAAGGCTTCCTAATTTTCGTGGTGAGGGTGCTCCAGTATCCCGAGGCTCGTGTATCCTGGTCCCAGCTCGCCACCACGGGGACATTTAAGAAGCAGCGCGGTGCGCCCTCGGGCTCCTGGTGTGCCAACTCGAATCCCAGCAAACGCAACGGTCACTCTTCCATGGTCCGTGTGACGTCTACCAGCACGGACAGTACGAGTACCGTTGTCTTCAACAGCAACATGTGGAACAAGGTGGAGAATGGTGGGCCCGCTGGTTCGAAGCACACGACTGACAGGCTGCCCCGCTTCTCCAGCGTCGGAAGCCTGCTTAAGAACTGTAACGTGCAGAGGGACGACCAGATGACCCGTGCCGGAACACTGTCCAGGAAACAGAAGTCAAAGGTAATTACTCAAATATTGTGAAAGTGGCAGCACGCAACTGCACGTTTGCACAATGAGCTGTTGGGTATCAAAGGAAACGTTATGTGACGGGTGAACTCTTAGCGTACGATTTTGCTATGAGAGCGAACTGTGTCAGTAACAGGCTCCGACTTTTTTTTACGCCTCCCAAACAAGCTCCGTAATTCGAAGAGTAGACCGCAGCGATTACCTTTTTTGAATATTACAGAGCTGTGCGCTGCGCAGAGCCTCCATTCCGAAAAACAATTTCTCATGCCTGACAAATGCTCCTTCCACGCGCAGAGCCGACAACTCGGCGATCGATGATTTGACGCAGCACGCAGCTCGTCGATTGGTCTAAATCAGAGCTCAACGAACAGTTTTGAAGTCAATGGCAGTTCCTTCTCCACTTACGACAGAGCTATTCAATTATACAAGTTGTGAAACTCCCCATAGGCTTCATGTATCTAAATGGGGACACGTCACTGGCCCTGTTTTTGGGAGAGAGCAGGTTGTCGCGCCACCTGTTGACGAGTAAACGTGCTGCCATGCGTGACCTTCATTTTCTCACCCGCGTTGGTAGAATCTCTCTAAAATTCAGTTCTCTTGGCATCCTTCCGAAAATTGTTCATTGAAATATGTCTTCCTCAGCATGAATATGCATCTGTAATCTAAAATGGCATTGCTAAGTCTGGCAGTGATGCCATTGAGCGAGTACAGGAAAAATTCATAAGCATTTACAATCACCTTTTCGCAAGAAATGACTCTGTATCTCGTTTCAGCACTGCCAGATTGTTATTGTGTCATGACTTCTCCAGCGATGAAAACGCGCTGACCTATTATTTCTTTGTAAACTAGTTCACGATATGCTCTCCTGCTCTTTACTCCTCAGTTTGGTAAATTTTCGGATTCTGCGTAAGTCAACCACTGCAGAGAGAATCGACCATTTCATGTACCTGCCAACTTCTTTGAACACTCTGCTGTTCACAAAACACAGTTTCTATTATGCTAACTTTCATAAGCTTGATGTTTTTTGCACTGTTGTTTTTATCTCAGCTCTGCATTGTATTAACATAGCTTTTTAGGAATTAGATTCTTTCCTTTTCAGTACTTCAACAAGAATCCTACATAGTTGCGTATATTCCCCTTTATTTTTCACTTCCTTTCTATGATTTTTGTCTTTTATTTATCCCAATTCTGTTAATACCATTTTTCTGTGGGGTTCCTTACTTTTCAATTTTTCTGAAGAGTGTCTCTCTGTATTGTTTATTTGTATCGCCTTATTTTTGTGTGTGCCTGCACTAAGACCTCACGGTCGTTCCAGGCCACGTTAAATGATTGATTGATTGATTGATTGATTGATTGACTTACTAATGATACTAGCCTAGCTCTGCTGGCTAAGCTCATCGTTTTACGGCTATGAGTGACCGGCTTTGCTTAATATGACAGGATTGCTAGATTATTGCCTGTTAACTAACACAAATTAGCCCATCGCCTGAAATTCAGTGGCTGAGTTAGGGACGTACTCGAACAAATATGTTGAACAACATAACTTAGTCAACGTCTAGCCGATTTTGTAATTCTCATTTCAGGTAATAACCGAAGAGCCGGACGCCAAGGAGAATCGTACAGAATTCTATTCCGGTGACGACCGAATCACAGCCGTAGTTCCAAGCCTTTACGCCTGTCAAGAGCAACACATCATGAAGAGCAGCAGCCTCAACGTGTCTTCTGATCAACTCAACTTCATCGACCAAGGCTCGCGTAGTGCGGCTAACACGCTCACTTTCGCGACCAGCCAGAAGGCACACATCCTCTTCGCATACGCAGGTGGTGAAACTACACCCATACGGATCAACGGCGTCGTGACGTCACCCGAGGAGAAGCCCAGGCTCGAGTCTTTCAGCACGTTCCAGAGGCCGTCGCCGGCGCCGAGCGCGCCCCACATTACAGAGCTGCCCCAAACTAGGAGTTGTACAGCAGCAGAGCAGAACAACGTTGCCGCTTCGGAGCACGCGGCTACCCGGAACACCCTGAAGACATCTAGCGAGGAAACGTCGTGTCCGCTGGAAGATGGAGCCGTCACAACAGTCGTGTCTTGATGAACTAGCTACGACCACGATGCCCTGCATGTGTCTAGGCAATTTTCACCAACCTGAGGTGGCGACAGACTAAAGGACAGAGTGCCTTCTAGCCCTATAGACACACCACCGGAAGACGCGAAGCTTGGTATTACGGGACAAAATGCTGACCGCAGATTTTTGCAGCAGCTGCGACTGCTGCAAAGATGGTGTCTTCAGACTGAACTCTCAGTTTTTTTAGTCAGATTCCTGCGGCATGGATGTTTCATGATCATGTCTAAAACGCCTTCGCGTTGTTTGGATATACTGAATGGAGGATCTCAACATGCATGGTACAAGTTGCCTTCCTATCAGAACGACCCGGTGCGACCCTGTGTGTTCACAATTGGTGTGCCCTCCTACCTGTGGTCTTCCTAAGAACAATGATCTCGGTGTTTTTTGAATCGCACGTCAATCGTTATCGGCCATTTTTTTTTTGTAGACTACCCAATATCAACATTCTCAACTGGTAAGAAGTGCAGCAAGATTCAACCTCGGGGTCCGAAATAGCCGCCACATCCTTCGAGGTACTATATATGCTATTCCGTGAACTGTTTTTTTTTCTACTGGCATTTTTTGCCTGTGTGTGCGCGTTATATGTGAGAAAAATAAAAAAAAACGCCAGGCTTGTGCGGGACACGCGACATAGTCGCAGGGTAAGCTTGAAGAGCGGCCTTTCAGAGCCTTTTCTAAACACACTTTGGGATGCTACAAACACACTGCTGGGTACCCACTATGCCATGCTAGCCTTCATCAATATATGAAGAGAAGCGTGGTATCCGCTACCTACTTTTTAGGAATTCTGTGCGATTATTTTATGCAGTGAATGGCGAGGATAAAGAAATATACCTGAAGTGGGTATGCACCACAGTTAATAAGTGATCAAGAACAAGTTTTCTAAAGAGTTGGAGCATTGCAAAACCCAGTCGTTACGCAATTTGCATTGTGTGACACCTCGAAGTTCCTTTGGTGTTCTAAAATGCTCTTACTTATATTAACGCGATTTCTTTCTCGACATCAAGCCTGCATAAGGCCAGTTCAGCAGTAATTTCCAAGCTTCGGTGTGGCTCAGTGGTACAATAATGAACTGGCACGCAGTGGACCCGAGTTAGAATTCTATTGTGTCCTTATTTTACTTACGAGTTTTCTTTCATTTGATACTGGTTAGGGACAGCAGCGGCGTAGGCGGCGTTAGTGACGGCGGACAACTACGGCGCCATGCGTCACCTGTGTTCTGATCTCGAAACAGATTTCGCCGTAAAACTTGCCGGATCACGGAACCATCTATGTAGTTTCACTCCAGCTTTTCGGTCGCCCGAAATACCCATTCCTTGCTCGCTATGTTATGAGTCAACTTGAACTTGTGATTTTTCCCTGTGTGGAAAGAAGTTGTGAGCTTTTGCTATGGGGAGCCTATTTCAGTGGTAGGTACGTCATTTTCGTGACATATTGTTGGCCTCTCGAGTATTTTGAACTGTCTCATAATCACTACAAACGTTTATATGTTATATGAGAAATATTTTGCATGGAGACTTTCATCTCGCCTTCACGTTCTTGTTCTGCGTGGTCATCTATGTCTGATTCTGTGATTGCATATTGATGTAAGCATATGAAAATCGGGAGCGATTGTTTGAGAGATGTTGAAGGACATTTTTCTCCAAGTGAAGACAAGTTTGCTACTTCTGTGAAAACTGACTGTACTGGTGCAGTAAGAACCGGTGATGTTTGAACTGTGCAAGTAAAATGAAGTTAAAGTCACACAACTGAGAAATGCTTCTTTTTACACAACAAATAATTTAATTTATGCAGAACCAGCTTCCTTTCTTCATAAACCCACTTTTGTATTAATACTGCAAACCACAAGAGAAACAACCAGCATTGCATTGGTTAATGAAAATTTCTTTGTGGGTTAGCATTGTAGTCTTTATACAATATTATCCTTGTCCGCATCATCGTTGCTTTGTTTTAAAAAGGTTCATGTGCTGCAAACAACTAGTCCTATTTGCGTTCGAACGAAACCTTGACCTGTTGTGCTGGAAACTGCGTACAGCTGGGATACAATACATTGGAGCCTTTGCGTGTAGAAATCTGGGCATGCTCGAAATGAAACAAGTAGCGAGTTAGCACATTGCCCTGCGCTGTTTTTTTTTCCGCTTCCTTTACTACCAGGCTGCGCATAACAAAACCTAGTCGTTCAAACGGGGTCCCATTGCAGCTTTATCAGCCTGCATTTTTTTTATGCGTGCCCTGATTCTCAGTAATGGAGAGGATAGCACGTGTAGGACATGGCGCGTCAAACCAATACATCGCCCGGCCTACACTTCCACGTGATGAAACGCCACTCCCAAGTTAATGTGGTTTCTTCGTTGAAATAAAATCATCATGGCGTTTATTTTTGCATGCCGGTTGTCCAATGATATCGGCGTATTCTACAATGCCAGAGGAAGCGATGAAAATGACACGCTTAATTTGTGTAGCACGGCCATTTTACATCATCTCAGTTGAAATTGAATTGATGACACAAATCTTTAGACAAGGGCGAAGAAAACACGTAACACAAAAAAACACGCAGGAAAAGTAGTCGCCGGGCATCGTAGTAAACATTCAAATGCGAGACAGTGACCATATTTTCAAGACAGTTGTCTTGCATGTCTTCTTCGCTCTTGTCCAGAAATATGTGCCATCAAGTTCAGCTATTCACCATCTGGCCAACAGAAGACGTTATTTATGAGTACAGTCTGAACCGGCTCTCACAACTTGCTATTAGCTACAAGCACTAAGTGCCATTTAACTGATAGTCATCAACATATTGTATTCAAGCTGCAAGCAGGTTCCAACGCAATAGGTCAACTGTCTCCTTCAAACGCAAAAGGTACCAGTTGTTTACAGCACTTAAACAATTTCGAAACGGTGTCAAATGACGCGGATAAAAATGGGCGCAAACCACAGCGCTAACACGCGACTGAATGTTTAATTAAAGCTGCAACGCTGGCGTGCTGCTTCTCTCATGGTTTTATTTTTCTTTAATGGTATTGCACGGCTGTGAGGGCTGTAGTAGTCGTTTCTCATTTCTTTCATGTGCTTTTCGTGGACATTCAATAGTGAGACAGCGCAATGGTTTGTCCCCCTTTTTTTCTTGTGTGCGGGTCGTAGCGCCGTCTCAAAAATGTTCAACTAACGTCACCGAATAGACAATTTTCCGCAGCGGTGCTCGGGTGCTGCCATATTTGATCGCATGACCATCAACTGGCCTCCTAGCCAGTTGCACAAGTGAACTCCTTGGACCGTGGCCGTCAGCGCCGGTAGCTGGGTTTAGAAGCCAACATGGCAGCACCCATGCAGACGTGACCGCCCGCTTCGATGCAAACTTGGGCTTGCTGCTCGCCCGCTGTCGTCACAGCAATAAATGAATGGTGAAATCAGCTACCACTTCGTCTCATCTCACGCTGAGTGCAATACCTTAGGTATGCACTGATTTTATTAAAGAGATTAGCTGGGTTTATTTAGCTATGCCTACTAAGCCTTGCCTCTGATAAATTGTGGATTAAACTAGAAAACACAGCAAAATACCGACGAATCCATTGCTCTCTAAACTTAGAGGTGTAAATATAGAGCAAATGAACGCGTGCCTTGTGAACTAACGGGCGATACAGCGCAGAATGACGACATGACAAGATCGATGTGGATGAATAAAAATTTCACCCGTCGGTTATGATAGATAACCTACGGGTTATCACAATATCACAAAGCAAGAAGAGCTGAAAGAGCGAAAAATATACATAACAACGTAAAAGATTTACCGGAAACAACATACATAGACGCGGCCAAATACTAAGGAAATGACAACATGACTATAGCAGTAGTGGACTACAAAGGAAATCATAAGGTCAGCGGCTCGGTGAGAACGAGCTTTGCAGGAGAGGCGGAGGAAGCAGCTATTGCAATGGCCATAGCATCCACCTCGACTTCACTCATTGTTAGCGACTCGCAGACGGCTGTGAGAAACTTTGCACGAGGGCGAATATCTCAAATAGCTTTAAGAATATTGGTTGGATGCAAAGACCAACGAACAATAGAAATAGTCTGGGCACCCACTCACTCCTCCTTGCCCGGCAATGAGGCTGCACACCAGACAGCTCGAGGACTTACAGACCGAGCCTCTGGATTGCCCTGATCGAACGGGGAGGACGATGAGAGATTTGAGCGGATGACCACTTACAGAGATATTACGCAGTATTACAGGCTAATCAGGAAAATTTATCCTCCCGCACACTCGTCATTGAACAAAGGACAGGCGGTGGCGTGGCGCCTACTCCAGACCCACACGTTTCCTAGTCCGGTAACAATGAACCGCTGTGTGCCGGAACTTCATTCGGACAAGTGTAATTTTTGCCACAACAGGGCGGACTTGAGCCACATTTTATGGGCATGCCCGCAGGCCCCCATGAGAGGCAAATTTCCAGACGGGAGTGGATGGGATGCCGCGCTCCTCAGCTCTGACTCTCAATTACAAGCCCGCTTAATACGGCAGGCCGAAGACGCCGCCAGGGCCCATGGGATCATGGCCGTTGTCTAGGTTTGGTCCTCCCTTCTCCTCTCGCACCTGAAAGGGGAAGAGGACCTTTCTGCTAATAAATAAAGTTTGTTCATCATCATAATCATCACCCGTAGGTGCCGCATTGTTAACTTTGCCTACAGTGGCCATCTTTTTATCGTGGCCATCTGACGGCTGAACATCTAGGGCGCGTCGTCTGCTCGGCGTCCTCGTAGCGTCTGCTTCGCTTTTACTTGCGTGCGCGCAGACGCTATGTGGACGTTGATCAGAAGACACGAAATGGTTGTTGAGCAGTGCTGCAGAAGGCCACAGCTAAAAAACTCTCATTGTAAGCAGAAGTCCTTGGCATTGTGGCACCATCTAGATTTCAATCAGCAAACCACCTGCGGAAAGCCGTCTATCCAGACCAGCTTTTGATCCTCCCACAGTATACAACCGGAAATTATTCCAGTTCTATCTCGCTTGGATCCACTAAGCTGCTTCTCAGCAAGTCCTTCTCTATGCCCTTGGTGGGCCATTCGAATCAGTTTGCTTCTTGAAAAATTTCAATATATCCTGACTGATACCACGCCAGGTCTACTGAAAATGTTAGTGGTACAATCTCAGCTTCAACAAGTTCATCTCCAACTAGGAAATACTACCATATCTTCGGAAATCTAAAGCTAGGAACTTTTCAAAGGCAATAGACTTAACCTTCTGATTGAGAAAGCTCTAGAAGTGATATTCATTCAAATGCAACCACGCCATCGTCGCGCATGAAAAATTACGAGTTTTCATAAGGCTATAAACTTGTTTCAACATATGGTGTTGTAGCGCAAATTCGAAGGGGACACAGAGGACCACAACGGTTTCGCGACACTACCGAAACCGTCGAGTTTGCGCTACTATGCTTTATGTTAAGGAGTTTGTGCTACTACACTTTCTGTTAAACTTATATCGCGCCAACTAGCCCAGCTTTTAACCCTACTGGGCTATAAACTTACTTTTCTGATCGGACAAGGCCTAGGCAATACTTTTATTCTAATACGACCATACCTTTGTAAATAAAAATTCAGTTTTCCATAAGCAATAGACTTACTTTTGTGTTTAGAAAAGCCCTAGGAGCTAATTTCTTTCTCATAAGACTAAGCTTGGGGAAATCGATATTCACAATATTTTCAAAAGGCATATCAGTTCTGATAAAAAAAGCCCCAATATTCGATTTCATTCAAGTAAGACAGTACTTTCTAAAACTGAAAATCGCGAGATTTTGAGACAACCACAAATCATATACCTACTCGTAAAAACTTTTCATTCCTTTAACCTGTCAAGGTTTTCAGTTAACTCCCTGTGTGGTCCAGCCCGAACCAAGAACATGCCGGATCAGGAAATAAAGTTTATTCATCATTCAAGCTGATCTTTATGGAGGCCAGAAAACATTGTGTACACCAAGGCAGGTGTAGGACCACAGTAAGAAGTTGTTGCGGAGCAGTTTTAGTTCACTTTTAGGTATCTTTTGCGGTGAGCTTGAGGAGGCATATCGACCGTTGCACTGCATTTGCTCTGGCACGCAGCATTGCTTTGACGGCACTCAGTCGAAGCGAACCAACAGAGAAGTTCTTGCCGCACAGACACTGTGGTGCCCGCATGGCACCTCGCGAAGAGCTGTGGCACCCGAAGCTACCGAGCGCTTCTGGTTCCTGTTAACCTAGGGCAAAGCTACCAACACCCACGTGGGCGACAAAGGGGTAGGAATGGAAACATCATTATGACGATGCCCTGATTGCCTCGTGGCACTTTCGGCCTGCGCATGAATGGGCCTTTTGCGGGACCCAGTGCAGCAGTGACTCCTCGCATCGGTTCGGCTTAGGGCACAACCGATTGCTGTTCGCGCGCCTACGAGTCACCGCCAAGACAAGGCAGCGTGTGCTGTGGCTCCGTGGGATAGTCGGTGACTTACCGTCATTATCCGACGTACTTCCTACTTCAGGTACACACCTGTCGGAAGAGGGTGGGGTTGCAACATGTGAAACCGTAACCTGTGTCGGGGTAAATGGGTGCCCGGTGGGGTCTCACTCGCTGCATTCCGTGCCGACCGGTTGTGCTCCCTCGCGATCTCCGACGTCAGCGTAGCTCTGGCCGACTGGGCTCGCCCTACATCATCTCCTGACGCTGATCTTTGACGACAGCGTAGCACTGACCTACTGGAATTGTTCTACGCCATCT